AAAGGTGCTTTCTTTTTTCTTCTTTCAGTTTATCTATAACGGGCTGTCTACATCTAATTCCTCATCTTTTTCTCCCTTCCTTTTCTGCCCCTTCATATGTCTGTGTGTCTCTTTAAAGACACTGGTGTCAAAAACAAGAAACAAACCAGCTGTCAAAGCAGACTTCTGCTTCTGCTTTTGATTATGTCCAGAGAGAAAGGAGGGCTGTCCGCTCATGCGTACTCTCAAAGCTGTATGAGTATGCTCTTAGAGTCCCAAGGAAGCGAGCTCCCAGGAATAGAAGCCAGGGCTTGTGCAATTGAAAGAATCACAGCGATCATGAATCCGATGGGATGGAATCAGTCAGTTGCCCGATTTCATACGGTGATATATTTTTTTCTTTTTTGGTTAATTCTGCCAATAATACTCCACTTCTCCCTGCCAAAATATCCAAGACCCTCCCAAATATTTCCTTATTACTAGTCTAAAATGAGAGGGAGAAGAAGGTTGTGAGAATTAGATTCAATTAAGAGCTTAAGTTGCATTCTTTAAAATTATTAAATCTAAAGCATCTAAAATTAGGCAAGTTTATAGCATTAAGGAGTTTATGCCACTTTATTTTTGGAAAAATAGGATTTTAATGGAGACAAGATATGCTAAGCTAGGTGAATTCTTTAAGGCTTGGTAAAAAGCAAGTACAGTGTATGTAGGTTGTGCAACTGCTGTTTTAGTACTGGAAGTTGCTATGTACAGAAAAAGGATCTAAGGTTTTTTGTATAGCATTGTCTTTACCCCCATCTCTCTGATTTAGCCATCTTTATTTTTATCCAATTCCATTCAAGAACAGGTTGCAGATACTGAAAATAAATGAGATGCACGTTCTTAGAGATTGCCCATTACACTTAAAAAATTTGCTTTTTTGCATTAAGTATCTTATGGTCACTTTACAATGATTACTTGTTTCACTTTATTTTTTTTTAAGATTTATTTATTTTTATTGCAAAGTCAGGTATACAGAGAGGAGGAGAGACAGAAAGATCTTTCATCCGATGATTCACTCCCCAAGTGACTGCAACGGCCGATGCTGTGCCAATTCAAAGCCAGGTGCTGGAAACCACCTCCGGGTCTCCCATGCAAGTGCAGGGTTCCAAGGTCCTGGGTCGTTCTCGACTGCTTTCCCAGGCCACAAGCAGGGAGCTGGATGGGAAGTGGACTAGATGGGATTAGAACTGGTGCCCATATAGAATCCTAGGTACATTCAAGGCAAGGACTTTAGCTACTATGCCACCACGCTGGGCCCACATGTTCCACTTTGTGTTAACTCAACAAATAGCCCCAAGAGTGATTGGAATTTTGAGTGGCTGGAATTCAAATATGATACTTCTGCTTTTCCTGTTTTTCCTTAAGCTCCTATATCTTTCATTAAGCAAAATCAAGTAATTGTTGTGAAAGGATTCCACTAAATTTCCACATATTTAATTGCTTCTAGATTTTTACAGCACTACCTTGGGTGAAGGCAAAAAGAGAAAATCAAGTCTTCATGCAGAGTTACTTCTAATATGCCAATGTGTTTCTGCCAAGATGTTAATGTTAAGGTGCTGAATATATCTAGAAGGAAAGAAAAGCATCACACAGATCCATTATTTATATCTTGCAGACATCTTAAGGAAAACATCACACTGATACATTATTTATATTTTATGGACATCTGGGTATTCAAAACTTTCTAAAATGGCTACCTTTCTTCATTCATGTCCTCATTAGTGCTATTCAAATATTTTTGACTCTTTGGGCGAAAGATAGCTTGCATTTACCCATCTCCTTTGTTAGACTTGCCTAGTGAATCATGAGAAGCCGTCTATATCACATCTGAGAGGAGGCTCCAAGAGCACCTGTGCAATTTGTCAGAATCTCTTCTGCCATGGCAACCATCTCCAGCTGTACAGGTTCAATTAGCCTTGTTCCTGGAGGCATGGAATGTGGCACAGAAATAGTCTCTTCATTCCTAAATTTTGTAACATGCAAGGACATATAGCATGATAAGTATTGTTTGAGGCCTTAATACAGTACAGTCCGGCTTCACCTGTGAAAACATCTATTGTTTTAATGTGTATGTTAGGTATTTATAAACAATTATGAGAAATCCACATCCTAATAGGTGGGTTTGTGTGTGTGTGTGTGTCTATTTGCTATCTTGTTTCCAGATATCTAAAGACAAGTAAGGAAAATAAACACTACAAAAATGTGGATTTTATTGTGTATTTTGAACACTTGCATCATAGTATGTACTGCATTGTATTTCATTTTCTTACATCAGTTGGCACCATAGGGATCTATCTTCTTATGTTACAAGCTCCCAAATGGACAGTGAGGCATGTATGTGCTTACTCTTGCCATATTCTTAGGGTGCATATTCTGTACATATACATGTAGTAGGACTCAGTAAATAATTATCAAAACGTTGAAAATGCTGTTGATGATGATAGAGATTCAAAGGGACATGCACGTTCAGGGCAACTGTAAAGTAATTTAAGGTGTGGAAGTAATATACTGCCTGGGAGTTGATATCGGAAAATCAGAAATGAAAGCACATAGCTAATGGCATTCCAGATAAAATTTTATAGACATACTAACTTATATAATCTTATGCCATTAGCAAAGGTCATGGAATTTTTAGTGGCCCCATTTTAGGAATTTATTTTTTGCTGGGTATCTTCCTCATTGAGAATTCTTTTGCGAAAAATAACTTTAACGATAGATACCTTAGTGTGTTTTACTCTTATTGTACAATTTTATTACTGTATTCTGACATCAGAAAGCAGACCTTCAAGTAAAAATATTGAATGTCATTAAAGGTCTAAGGATATTACTCTTTTTTTCCCCCTGAAAATCAAGTGGTAAATTTGACAATCATAGTGCTATGAGCTTCTTAAATGCTTTCATAGTCTTGCTTCAATTAGTGTTCAAATAATTTTATGCACTTTATTCTTTTAAAATTGTAGTATTATAGTGAAAATCTAATACTTTCACTAATAAGGTATCTTGACTAGAGTGCAGGCATCTAGTGTGGCAGTTAAGACATCACTCATTGTGTCCACATTCCATTCTGGAGTGCCTGTGCTCCAGTCCCAACTCCATGTGTTATTTTAATTTCATGCTGATGCATATGTTGGAAGGAAGTAGGTGATGACTCAGGTAGTTGGGAACTTGCCACCCATGTTAGAGATTCAGATTGAGTTCTGAACTGAATTGGGCCTGGCACAGCTTCAGCAATTGGGAGCATTTGGGGAATGAATAGGCAAATGAAATATTCTTCACTGTCCCTCTAGCTTTAAAATTAAATGAAAATAAGTAGTTATATTTTAGACAATGGGAGAACAGTATTGAAAAGCTCACATTATAGTGATATGCATTGATTGTACATACTTATTGATTATAGCCTGCAATTAACACTAGTCCACAGATTTAGAAACAGAATACATAAGTGGTTTAATTAAAAGATTTAAAAAATTATGTATTTGAAAGTCAGGGTTACAGAGAGAAAGAGACAGAGATGGAGCACAGGGATCCTCCATTACTGGCTCATTCCCTAGATGGCTGCAATGGCCGGGTCTGGGACAAGTGTAAGCTAGGAACCTAGAACTCTAACTCGTTCTCTCAAATAGGTGGAAGGGAAACCAGGACTTACACCATTTTCCACTGCTTTCCCATGTGCATTAGCAAAGGGCTGGATTGGAAATGGAGTAACCAGGACTTCAATTGGTGCTTCTATGGGATGCTTGCATCACTGGAGACAACATAATGTGCTCTATTAGAAAACTGTACCCAGATTAATTCTTTCACTAAGTATTAGTGAAAGGACATAAAAGGCTTTACTAAAGAAGCAAAGTATTTCATCACTTTGTTCTAACTAATTTTAGCAATGTTGATATTACCACCATATCCATAGAGGATAACTAAAGAACTTTCTTCTGAAAGTAAGTGTTGTCTAACTTACAAAAAATAAATTGAGAGCGAAAGAAGGAGGAAAGTGATGAGTGGAAGCAAGTGACTCCCATAATGACAGGGGACAGGGAACTCAGTGAGTCTCCCACATGGGAGATGAGAATCCAGCCAGTTGAGCCATCCCTTTCCAGCATTCTGGATATACGTAAGCAGAAAGCAGAAATTGTGAACGCAGCTGAGTCTCTCTAACTCATGCACTCTGATATGGGGTCATGGGCATCACAACCTGTGTAACAATCCATGGTCTAAATGCCCTCTTCTCCAAAGGTATCTGACTTTTATGGCCCATTTAGTGTTCTTGAAATTTGGGGGCTTTCACGTGGAGAAAGCATTTTAAATATTTAACTGCAGCAATGAACACTTGAATGAATGGTGACAGCAGAATTACAAAAGGATCTGGGAAGCCTCTGCTGTGTATCTGGTTGTATGCATGCACCTCAATTTCTCATGTCTCAAACATAAATTACATTAAGATATTTGTAAAGCTAAAATGAGATAATACATATAAAGTGGTTGACATCATTAATGCTATTGGGTATGAATCAAGAAATCTTTTATACTATGATTAAGCATATGTAAGGAAAGAAGACACTTGACAGTGAGTTTATCCCAAAGTATGGAACAATTGGGAAGGTAGATACATTTGAAAAGAAAATGCTTTTCAGAGAGGGACTGATGGAAGTTTGAAGGAATGAAGAGTGTGGCTATGGACAAGGCCAGATTAGGAAATTATCTAGGCAAAGTACTATTTTTGTAGGGGATAATTGCTTCATATTCTGATTTTGCTAATTTCAATGATGCTCTGTGATAGTAATGAAAGGTCCTGGAGTGAGATGTCAGTATTTGATGATAGCTGTTTGCAAACTCTACTGTGATTATACTCGGTTGTCTAATTGCTTAATTTATTGGTGGTTTCCTGACATGTTTTTCAGTTAGGTTTGTAATTGCAGATAACTAATTATTTCTCTTATGACTCATTATCATATTTTTGCCTTTGATTTGTGTAATTGCTGCAGGTGGAAACAATAGGTGATGCCTACTGTGTTGCAGCAGGGCTGCACAGAAAAAGCCTCTGTCACGCAAAACCCATTGCTCTGATGGCCTTGAAGATGATGGAGCTTTCAGAAGAAGTGCTGACACCTGATGGAAGGCCAATTCAGGTATCCCTGTGAAAAATTTTGATTGACTAGTATATGTACCTCTTACTTCAGGGAGCAAGACGTGTCCTTCTGGATTGTTTTTGATAACTTTTAGATTTACTTAAGTACAGTGTTTAGTTATTCTTTGTCCCTGTCATTAAAGATAATTCATAAATTTAGGGAAAGAACAAAAGCAGTATGGTCCAGAATAGGAAAGGCATGTGAAAGGCAAATTATATGAAGAAAATAAAGCAAACAAAGGGCTGCGTCAATAGCAAGAAACTAGTGGAACTGGTCAGTCACCAAATTCAAGAACGGTGAGGGTGACAGTTTATTTCTTAGATTACCTCTCAGAATCTAAGAATCAACAATATAAATGATCTGGACAACTTTGTGTAGGTATTGTGTGTATAGGCAGTGTACAGGTATTTCTTATGAGGCCTTATTCCTCAACATTAACTTCTAAAGTTTAGCTGTAAGAGTCTGAAATTGTAACCATGAAACTGAGGAATCTTTAAAACAGTAGAAAATGTAGTTTCTGATTTGTTGTAGCCTTTTAGTAGCAATGGCTCTCTGCAGTCTGAGACCATCTAGCCTTATTTCTTTCTACCAGATCCCAGCAATGGATTATAGATGGGAGTTTACTGTGAGTCCTGTAAATCAGAAATATTGTATCTTGAGAAGTATATCTGAGTTCAGCATAGCCTTTTTGTATTAGCTTCCCAACTATATATTAAAAGTATAGAAGATATAAAAGGCTCAAAGCTCATGTGAGTACATTTCTAGTTATGGCAAAGTGTAAAATTAGATACTCCAAACCATTAAATATTGCTAAGCATTTTTAATTACTTAAAAAAGCATATTAAAATCTCTGAACTTATAGAAAAGGAAAAAATATTCCCTTTATTCTATGTTTATAGATTAAAGAAAACCATTAGTGAATTTAGCTTAAATGCTTTATCTGGCAATCACACAGGGAAAATAAGACATACCGTTCTTGTCTGAAGGGTTTCAATTTCAAGATCATCCTCAAAGAATTTCAGGTAACGTGTCCTGAAACGTGTGTGGCTAATGCTAGAAACAAAGCAGAATAACCTCGCTCATACACACACATGCAGGAAAACAAAATACTCTGGTTAAGAATCAATGGAGATTATAAAGGAGAAAAACACGCCTGGAATATTATTAGCAAAAAAAATATCAGACACAGGAATAAAGGGGCAATGTTTCATATAATTAAAAGAAGCTGGAAAATGTTAGAAGTAGATTTGAAAATGAACTAGGAAACCTAAAACAGAATATTTTAAAATAAGAGGCAACTCAGTGAATACATTTAAAAACAGAGTAGACATGGATGGAACAGGAATCTGCACACTCAGAGTTCGAGCTGGAGATGTTAGCCAGATGGAACACATGAATAAGCTAATGTAAAATATGTAGTGGAGTGGGAAGTGGGAAAAGGTGGTATATATTCTGTTTGGGAAGCCATATAAAGTTGAGAAAAAATTTTTCCTTCAGAATTAGTAAAATCAATCATATGAGACTCAGTAATTCTAAAGGATTTCAAAATGGCAAGCTACAGGAATGTAAGGCAAGATCATCTCAGAGGTTTCAATGTGCATCAGAGAAGTAGTACTTGATCAATTACAAAAAGTACCATTGATCGGTGGCGAGTGGATACGCTGGTAAGTACAATGTTGGAGTAAAAACTGGCTGTTCATATGAAAAATAAATTGAAATTGATTTACTGCTTTATGAATCTACATCTACACATTAAGTCAAATGGTTCAGTATGAAAAGCTATACAATGAACGAGATTTATAATTGGGAAATTTTGACCCAGACTAGGGAAGCTTTTTTTGTGAACTATTTTACTGATAAAATTACAACTTTTCTGATTATAAAAAAAACTTAAAAAGATAACTACACACGAGAAGAGTATTTGTAACCAGTAAAATTATCTTTGGCCCCCTCACTAATCAGATGAATAGAAATTAATTCTAGTCTTCATAGAGCATTGTAGCCTACCGGTTTGATATGACTTTGAAAATCTAACAGTGAAAGAGTGTCTTAAGAAAGAAAGTCTGACAATGCCACTGTTGGTGAGCATTTGGAATAGGAGGGAGTTTCACTGTTTAGATGGCAGAAAGGTGCATGGCATAATTAGTTAACATCAATAAGATATAACTTAATTCAAATCCTACAACCCAGCAATTTCTCTGCTAGTTTTTGTCCCAGGGAGACTCACACAAAAGTGTTCATAGCAACTCTGGAACATTTTTTCAAATGATGAACACTGGGCATCTAGTTTGATAAACAATAGAATTGATAAGCATGATATAGATATACCTTGGTAAATCATACACTTGAAAAAAGACATGATATTCACCATGGGCAATGTGGATGAATGTCAAAAACATAGTGACATAAAAAGCAACTCCTGGAAAACTCTATAAAATGATTGTTTTTATAATTCAAAAATACTGCAACTTTTTAAAAAAACAAATGTTATTTAGGAATAGCTGCATTAATGGACATTGGCCAACACAGCAGTCAAGATGGTGCTTTTACCAAGAGAAAGGAAGCTAGTGGGAAAGGAGAGGCTATAATACCAAAAGCAAGCACAGTGCAAAAAGTGGAGTTTTCATTCGGCTGCCAGGAGTAGGGAAAATGGGACAGTGTGGAACATTAAAAAGAAAAAAAAATACATAGGATTCCCTCAGGGCATAATTATTGAGTTCAGATAGATGAATGACCTTTTTACTCAGGCCAAGAAAACTAACAAAAGGTATCCTGCCTTAGATCTACTGAGAACTTCCGTGATGCTCGATGTTTATTGTTAAACGGCCAGTAGGCTTGAATTTTTTTTTTTATGTGGAATTTTCTTTTACAGGATTTATGATGTCTGTGTTGATTTCAGCATTTTGTCACAGCAAAGTACTTGAGATCCAAACCAAGGAATAGAGTCATACAGTGTGCTCATCAATATGTTTGTGATGTACCATTAGCTCTGTCACATGAGTCACATCTTTTTAGATCAGAAGAGAAAATGTTCATAAAGATTCAGTAAGAATGCAGATGAATTCAAAATGATTATACCACTTTATTAATTTTAGTTTTATCATTAATTTACATTATTTACATGGTTTGGGATTTTTTTTGGCATATTAATTTGGTTTGGAATTTAATTCCAGCTTGGTACCATGGGAACGTTTCTAAATTTACTCAGGGAATCATTCATTATGACTGTTTTGCAGTAGAGTTGAAATTTGATCAGTTGATTGTACTTCTCAAATTGTGTACCTTTTCAGGTTTTTAAAAACAAAATGTTGCAAAATGCCTCAAAATCTTCCCCAAACTCTGTTTTGAAAAATAATTTGAGATTTTTATGATTATTTCCATAATAATAGACATAAGGTTCCCCACCTCTAATTTTATGAACATCTTAGGCATACTGCAGTCATGAGAAATATTTATAGCATAGAGTGTTATGATTGTCAGCATCCTTGACCCAACTATAAATGTGCCTGCATTTTGTATATCTAGTTTTAAAAACTACCAACGAATGTAACATTTTATTTATACAGTCTACGAATGTATACGTAGGATAGTGTTTAAATGTGCTCTAATGAATCTCAGATAACAAATTCTGGGACAAAAAAGTCCACAGGAAACTGTGACTGCTTTAAGATACAGTGATTGGAGGCAGGCATTGTGGCATTACAATGACCAACCCACCACTTTGGATGTCTATATGCCCCGTTAAAGTGCTGGGAGGAGTTCCAGGGACTCAGCCTTCCTTGCAGTATCCTTCTAATGCCTACCACCCATGTGGTAGACCAAAATCAAGTTTTCTGATCCAGGCTATGGTTGGGCCGAGCACTAGGGGAGTAAACCAAATGGAAAATCTTATTTCTCTTTCTCTGTGTGCATGTGTTTCAAAAAGCTGGAAAACAAATAATTATGTAAAAGCCGTGATCAGAATTTTTTCTCAGCCTTGGTAAATGCTGTTTTTTGGTTTTTGTTATTTTTTTTCTGAGAGGCTAGAAATATGGAAATGCAGTACTATCTCATTCCTAGTCTTCCCTAGAGGTGATCTGATGTTCTTTATTTAAAATAATAGAAATCATTAGTTCTTGTTTATGCTGTAGTGGAAATGTGGTCTTCCTACTTTTTATTTGTAGAGTATTATGATAATTAAGCCTGTTAATATAGTTGATTAAAACAAAGAACAAGCCAAATCATTTTTAGTTTATCCTTTATGCTCTCCTGTGCTTCACTAGAAATGTGCATTAGTTCATGCTGTTCTTTAGACTTATGAACACAATTGTACAAAAATATGAACACTTAAAATTAGGGTTTTATTTCTGGATTAACTTATGCTAATGATTTAGCCTATCTTTGATTAAAATATCCAAACACTTATTACTGCATGTATTTAAAAGAAAAATAGCATGCTTGTGACTTCAGGCTTTTGAAACCTGAGTGTATCTAGGTTAATGCATTTTAATTCTGGACTTCACCTTGGAAAAAATATTTTCACTGACTATCATCTTATAGGCATAAAATTAAAACTCCCTTTATAAATTTGGAGACAAGTACATTTTATATAATGAAGCAATTTTAGAGACAATATGAAATAGTTTAGACTGTGTAATCATGTTATAATACTAGTGTTTTTAGCAATCTCAATTGCATATCAGTGAAATGCTATGAGTTTTTCTAGGTTTCAAGTCCCCAAACAGAAATATTAATCTAGAATTTACATGTATTACAGTACATTCAATTATGGCTCTTAAGCATTAAGACTTATTCTAATGAGTTTATAGGATATTTTAAGATTATGAAATAATTTTTAAATAGTTTGATAGTTTCAAAGAAACTCTGGTTCTGTTCTTTCATATTCAGAAGGATTTAGTCTTTTCAAATACTGCAATGTTTAATTTACCCCATGAGATTACAAAGAATACACTAAATTGTATTTAGAAAAACTAATTACCTTGATTAGTTGTCTGTGGCTT